TGACTCCAGTCTGGACTGGCTGCTGTGCGCACCTGATATAAGGCTATCATGCAAGGACCGCCGTGCACCACCCTGGGCACCTTCCTTCGCTGCGGGGGCTCCAGGTGCCTGTACCCCAGGCTTCCCCCCTGGTTTGCCCCTTTGTTTTGCTGAAGCTTCTTCTCCTGTGACTTCCTGGGACAGGCTGGCTGGGAAGTGAGTCTTCCAGAGGCTTGCACATCTAAAAATATTTTCATCCACCGTCAGGTTTAACTGATACTTTAACTAGACATGAACTTCTGACTCGGACATTTTCCTTCTGCGTTTTGAAGCCTTTATTCCACGGCTTTCTAGCTTTTAGTGTGGCTGGGGGGAAAAAAAAAAAACCAAACCCCAAGTCATTCTGATTTCTGATCCTTTGTACTTGACCTCTTCCCCCGCATCCCCGCCCGCTCTGAAAGCCTTCTTCTCTTCCTCCCAGGGTGCTCTGAAGTCTCACGATGGCGTGTCCCAGTGTGGGCCCATTTTCATCGGCTGTGCCCTGGAGATGGCGGGCCTTGATTTAGAAACACGTGTCCTTCAGTTCGGGGATTTGTACAGATGATTTCTGATTATCTCTTGTGTATGTGTTCCTTCCCCTCTGTGCCTTCATCCACCCCCTCGCCCACCCCAGCTCTCTCGGCTCGGACTTGAATGGCTAGGCTGATTCACCAGTTTTCTCCTCGTTCTCTTCTGTTTTCCATCGCCCTTTCTGTCATCTTCAGCTTTCTGGGAGACCTCCTCAGTTTATCTTCCAAGTCCTTCTCGTCCTTTGTTTGTGCCACATTCCATTCTTGTTTCGTGGATACAACCTCTTATTTTATTTCTTCAGACGTTACTTGTAGGATGTTTGGTTTGGTGGGTTTTTTTCCCCCTCCAAATGTTCTTCTCTCTGCCTATCTGTGTTTGATCCAAAATATGTGCTTTGTGTTTATTTGATTCAGTTTGTGTCTTTAATGTCAGAGTCCTCCTTCAGAGGCCCATAAACTCCTGAGCGTCTGCTTCTTCTTAAACGTGGAAGACTAAAACCCCGCCGTTCTGAAGGAATTTGAGAACGAGCGGCCGCAGGTGTGCGAGTGTGAGCCACCACTGTGCTTCTGTATCTGTCCTTCATCTCCTGGTATCAAAAGTGGAGAGGGGAAAAAAGCCGGGTCCACACCCTGAAGATGCATGAGTAATTAAAATAACTCTCCCCATTGGCGCAAAGGAAAACTACACCTGCTTCTCCTCAGCCTTTAGAGAAAGAGAAAAAAAAAATCCATGGGACTATGCCTCCCCAGCCCTACCCGCCCTCCAAAAAAAATTCTCTGTAGCAAAAAAATAGCACGAGATTAGTATGTGGATTTGTGAAATGTGTAAACCACTCTAAAACTGTGAATAGGTTTGGAAACAATTTCTCCCTCCTCTCCACTCCCACAGCCCTGAATCACCAGCCTGGCTTTCACGCTCATCACTTCCTGCTTGGTGAGTTGCATGCCTGTTTCATCTCCATGACGATGCTCCAGGCCCCCGGAGAGCAGGGTCCCACGCTGATTCATCTGGGCCTCCCTTAGAGCCCCCCGCCCGAAGGGAGGTGGCCGAGACGAGCCAGATGAGGGCTGAAGGGCAGCCTCTCCTTCGCACACCACATGAGCACCCATGGATGTCAGCCGGTGAACGGGGAAGAGACCCACCCGCGCTGTCAAGGGAGCCAAGCAAACAAAATAGAACCGTAAACCCGGCGTCCACTTGGGAACAAGAGACAGATGGTCTCTGCTTGTATTCTTAGTCCCACTTTGGATGGATGGATGGATAGATGGATGGATGGATGGATGGGAAGGCCCGCAGCCCCGAGACCAGGGGAGCAGTAGGGTGGGCCTCGTGGAATGCAGGAAGACAGCCATGGAGGTCCGTGCACACAGCAAAGCTAATACTGTACCCAGAACCCCACGGTTCGGCATTCAAGGCTCTCTCCGCTTCTCCTTGGGTTCTTGCAAACCCTCTCGCAGCTCTCCTGTCCGGGGCCTGCCCTCTTTAATTAGTCTTGCATGGAGTGTCTAGAAGAATCGTTCTTCAATAGCAGGTGTCTCATGTCCCTTCCTGGCCCAAGGACTGAGAGTGGAGCCCTTTTATCCCCGCATCCAAGCGCTCTTCAGCCCTGACTTCAAGCCAGCCTCCCGAGCCCCTGTCCGTTCCCCTCCTAGGCCCCTCTCCCCGCTTTTTCCACGTATAAATCTCCGCTCCCATATTGTTCTGCATGTTGTGTCCCAGGATGGTAACATCTGCTTCCCCTCAGAAAGCAGCCGTGAGTGCTGACATTTTATGAGCACTTGCTCTGCTGCGCGGACCATTTTGCATGGTCCTCCCCTCAGGGGAGAAGGAAACGGAATGGCGGGAGGTGAAGGCCCTTGCCCACAGCCACGGAGAGTGACGGAGCTGGTGCTTTAACTAGGGCAAGGCAGGGTCAAGACCGGCTGCTCACCGCCTCACTCCCAACCCGCTTGGACCTCGTGGCTGAGCCTGGCTCCACTCATCTCTCCTGGGAAATGCCTTGGTGCTTGTCCGAGGCCCTGGCGCTGACCCTCCAGCTCCAGCTTACGTGGGGCTGGCTTGCTGCGTGGGCCCCTTTCGACGCCCTCACGCTCAGCCTGGCACTGACGCTCACTGCTTTGCAGACTCTGTGCAGCCCAGGTCGGCCACCAGGAAGGGCCACTGCCTCCCTTCCCTCCCTGCTGTGAGCTGCATGCCCGGGGAGTGCCGGAGTGCCAGAGCTTGCCTGGGCCTGAGGCCGAGCAGGGCAGAGGGCCTACCAGGACTCAGGGAGGCGAGGGTAGGGCCAGAGAAGGCAGGTGTCTGTCCACAGCCTGACAGACCTGGAACTAGGCGGACCTGCGGGTTCAGGGTCAGGGCAGACCCTGTCCCAGGGACCAGAGTTAAGCACCACTAATCCATCCTACTTATAATATGGCCAGAGGAGCAAGTGGGGCCCAGCCCAAGGGACTTGGCGTCCACCAGAACAAGCAAAGGGCTCTCAGGGTCGCACAGGACAGACAGGGTTAGGGAACAAGGGGCGCCAGTGGGTAAACAGATGAGGCCACCTGACTGGAGGGCTTCTAGGCAGATGTCAATGTGGAGTGAGTGCCAGACGCTCACGCGCTTGGGAAGACAGGTACCAGAAGGGCAAGTGTGCCCTCCTCTAGTGCCTGGGAGTGGCCCGAGGAGTGGCTCATGGGCCCTGCGAGGGCCGGCCTGGCTGCTCACTGAAGGCTGCTGCTGGCCACCTCCCACCTGGCTTTACACATGTGCTTCCTACCTGGCCACCTAACCTCTGTGCTCCACCTCTTCCTACATCCTGCCTACCACCTGCAGGCCACTCTTCCCAGCAAGCTGTGTCCCCTCGTCAGCTCCCTGGCTCCAGAATGTGGAACAAGCCCTCCAGGTCTCTAAGACCAAACCCGGACTTCTTATCTGAGAATTCCAAGATCCTCCAGACTCTGGACCCCTCATCAGCCCTCCAGCCTCCGGCTGCAGCCAGGCTACCTATTGTACCTGAGGGCTCACCCTTTCCCTTGATCTGGTTCCCCAAAGCATCTCCTCTAAATAATCTTGGGGTGTGTGTGTCAAGTTTATGGCCCTCCCCTTTCTGTCCCCAAGGAGCCCTGGTGGCGCAGCGATTGCATGTTGGGCTGCGATCCACAAGGTCGGCAGTTCGGAACCACCAGCAGCTCACAGGACGAAGACGAGGTTTCCTACTCCAGTAAACAGTTGTAGTCCCAGAAACTCGCAGGGACAGTCCTACCCTGCCCTGTGGGGCCGCTGGGAGTCAGCATCCACCCAGCGGCAGTGCGCAAGTGTGCCCCCAGGTGCCTTGTCCACACAAGTATTGTGTCCTCAGCAGGCTGAGAGCCCCTGAGGCCAGGCCTATGAGCTATTCACGTCTGGATTTCGGTGCTTGCCACAGAGCCTGGCGTGAACCGGCCTCTGTGTTGGGGAGAGAGGAGGGGGCGGGATGTCCCTGCCGCAGAGGGCCTGGCAGGGATGTGTTTCAGCAGGTTCCTTCAGGGGAAGCCCCATCCAGCTCCCTCGCAGGACACCCCCCTACTCCCACCCCCCAGGGCCTTCCCCTGGAAGCAGCCGCCGCCACATCCTTCCAGACAGACACCGTGGAGTTGCCAGTCTTGGGGATGTACCAACTTTTTGACAGGAAGTTGCTGAATGTCTTTGGTGATTTGGGGGGTGG